TTTTAGAACCCTGTTTTAGAGAGACAACGCATTATTTTACACAATAACACAATTCTTTTTATAAGTACAGTCTGATTACTTTAGAATTAATATTGTCAAAATTAGCTCAGAACGCTTAATTTTGCAGAAATTATTTATAAACACAAACAACCCACTTTTCCAAACGATTGACTAACTTGACACCGAAAATGGCTCGGCCATCTTCAATATAATTTAACAACCCTATCATGTTTCCGTTGATGCAATTGGAAAATACTGCTGGCCGAGCAGAATTTCATTTTCGAAGTCACGGTACTTGCTCCTAAAAAAGACAGTTTCCATTATTGTCACAGGACAAAATGGCAGCCCAATTTTAATTGTTATCAAACGGTATAAAAATATTCATCAGCATACAAAATATTCAATTGTTTCTTCTCTCTAACCAATATAACCAAATATATTGATAATGTGTATTCACTTCCTTAGCTTTTCACCGACTGGACAAATAACCCCATGTTGCGTCTCTATTCGTTGTCGCGTTGGTGTGCACAAAAACTGGGGAAAGTTCATTGTACATTCACAAAGAAACAAAAGGTAGCAATTAACGCCACAGTGAGAAATGAAAACGCAAATCCCGTTTCCAGTATATTTGGTTATTTATTCGGGGATTTTTTTTTTAATTTTTTTTTTTTTTTTTTTTTGCATGTTCTGATGGGTAGATAGGTGAAACTTGGGACACTTTCTACTTCTGTTATCTGACATGATAACAGATCAGCTTTTATCTTCAAAATCGAGAACTCTGACTCTCCTACCACCCCTCTTTCTTTCACTACACCACAAAGCGAGTATGCACCGACATGTGGCTCGGAACTACCTTCAATTCAAACTGTGACAGCTAATATAATACCGCGAACGGAAATCTATAACTTCCGATCATGTACCATTTGATCTCAAAAGTTTTAATTTATTTATCTATTATTTTATTCTCTTTTGATCAAGTGGGCGGCCACCTTGAAGATTCCATCTTCCAAACTCTACTGCCGGTCATAAAAATTCAATACTTCAATTCTGTGTTGCTCTTCTATGTCCCGATAACAGCTGTCATTTCACAAGGTTATGATTACTGGTATAGATATAATATATATATATATATATATATATATATATATATATATATATATATATATATGGTAGCGTCCAAAACTAAGGGACAAAATTTTAAAACCTAATATTTGTTAGAAATAACAACTGTGAAAAGCTGAAATTTTGACAACTGGTAGTCGTTATCATCCATAATAACATACTAAAATTCGAATCATTTGCAAACGATAGAAAAAGAATTATAACAATTATTTATTTATTTTCAAATTATTTTTCACAGTTGTTATTTCTAACAAATATTAGGTTTTAAAATTTTGTCCCTTAGTTTTGGACGCTACTATATATATATATATATATATATATATATATAAACTTTTAACCCAAGCAAGGCAAGAGTGCCACTAGGACGCAAGGGGTTACAGAAAGTGGGAGCAAAAATAAAGAGGCATGATAGAGGAAAAGATGAAGAGAAGGATGGGGAATAGATCAAAGCATACTGGAGATGTCGATTGACATTGCATTTGAATAGTTGGATATAGCTATCAGGGAAGCAAGTAAGAGGAAGAGAGTTTCACAGATGGGAAGTGTGAGACATGAAGCTATTGGAGTAGAAGAAACTGCTACATTTAACCGTTTCGACATTGAACGGGTGGGACTGAGATGCTGACCTAGTGGCACGTTTAAATTGATGCAGTTTGGGAACTAGCAAAAATAGCTCATCGGAGCAGTTACCGTGAGTGTATTTGTAGAAAAGACAGAGGGAGGCGACAGCATGTTTGTGAAAGAGCGACTCTAAACGAGATGCCAAATTAGGGCCAACCACATTGCATATCCGTCTCTGGATTTTGTCGAGGACCCTAAGAGAAACAGCGGGAGATCGAGACCATTTATGACAGCAATATTCCATGCAAGGACGGATGGTTGATTTATAGATTTGAAGAATGGAATCAGACGAGAAAAACTTTCTGGTACGAAACAGAGAACCCACTTTCCCTGCGGTAGATGAAGCAATTGATTCAATGTAATTGTTCCATCTCAGGTCAGCGGACAGTTTGAGACCAAGCAGTCACAAAGACGTGCTCTCGTGGTGTTGAGCATCAGACATTCTAATGGGAGGCAGGGAGGGTTTATAACTTTAAAAATCTTAAGAATTTTTGAACTTCAAAGAATTTAATTACAAGCTGGTTACAGTCCCAATTCAGAAAAGAAAGTTTCTGGTTAATTATTCGCTCAGCTTGACAATCAGTAAAGTTTTTGGGTTTTTTTTCGGTTTAAATTATTAGCGGTATATCAATCTGATTTTCACTGTTTCGTGACACGATCTCTTGTGTTTATGTGTGCGGTCATTGCATTATTAATCTTACAACATATTCTGCAGTAATCTGTATCGGATGAAAGGCGTTGTTATTTTTGGCTTCATTTGAGGATTCCCGGTCCGTGTGAGAATATGCAAATAAGTTTATTTTGTTTCGTAATTGGTGCATGTGTGTTTATGCCCTTCGATTTGATCACAACATTGGTTTATGTTTATGGAGAAGAAATGCAAGTTGATCCATTGTAAGTATAAAAGGTAATTACAGTTTTGTGATAAAATACTTTTTTCTTTTTTAGCGTTTTGGCGTAACTTTACCCAGAACTCAGACTCCACCCTTCCAGTAAGTTCTTCTATTGCCCATTTAAAAGGATCTTCATGTTAGATTTTATGAAGTTAGATGTTCTGACTGAATTATGAATCTTATCTTTTAAGCCAGAGGTTCTTAACCTGGGGTATCCATACTCCTTAGGGGTATGGGAACCAAATACTGGGGGGTATGGGACTCGATTTCTGGTTGGGTAGTTACAATATCCTTATTGGAGATGTTAAAACACTACCTGTAGAAATAATTCAAGAAAACAAGATTCATTTGGAAGTTCTAAGTACAAATTTTGAGGGTTACTTTTCAGGTATTGATAATCTTAGCATGGATTCGATTTGGATACAAAACCCTTTCTCATTTGATATATCGAGAATGAGTGATAACGATTTATCAAAGGATGATTTCATTGAATTCCAAGAGGACCCAAGAAAGGGCTGGGATGGATGTCAAGCAATTTTAGTGTGAACAAATCTCTGCTTACCCAAGTCGGAGGACGAATATTTTCTATGAAAATTTCTCGGACATTCAGGCCGGTAAATGTTATTAATACTGTTTATTATAAAAACAGAGCATTTACTTAATTATTTGTATCTATAAAAAGAATGTATAAACATAAAAATGTCTTTAAATGAATAATTCTATTCGTTTAAAATTTAAGCGTAAAATTTCTCTTTTTATGAAAGAAGACGTAATAGTCGTAATGTCTGTCATTTATCATTCAAACATTTTTAACATCTGCCATTGATTATATTCTTTTACCTTCCTACTTTTGTTTTAGTTGCTGTTGTTTTTTTTTTCACCCATAGTCCAAAGACGAGTGTTTTATAGACGTCTTTTTAAACTGAGGATTACCCTTCACCTCAAGTGGTTGCCAATCAAAGCTATAGAGCTCAGCCTGCCCTACTATTTTACTCATTATTGGTGAAAAAAAGAGATAAATTTATGCTTTTTCCAAGAGCATAAGTACGAAGTAAAGACAAACTGTTTCTGCCGGAATTTGAACGTAACTTATACATACAATGTTTCTTTATGACGTGTTTGATCATGGCTCTCCACATTTTCCAGTCTTAGTAAAGTTTATCTTTTTGCTATCTCTCCTAATCCCTGTTCTATCAAGCTCGTTGGGTAAGTTATTCACTACTTTTCTTCGGTCCCAATATATTCTGTGAGTCAGAGCCTAGAAATTTCAATTGTCTCTTTCTGATTCTAAATATATACTTTTTGCTTCCATTTTCGCCGTTTTTCATATGTTTAGTCCATAGTATTCTCAGTATCCTTCTGTAGAACGACATTTCTGTTGCCTCAAGTCACTGTTACATCTGTGGGGAGATTGTTCAACATTCATTACCATATAGGAGGACTAATATTACGTAACAGGTCAGTTCTCTTTTCTTTGTTTCTAACGAATTTTCCCTTGTTTCTTAATACTTTGCTTAGCTTTTGTAAGGCATCTTTCGCTATCCCAATATGCCTTTTCTTTTGCTTCTAACGAGATTCTCCTGTTTCTTAATACTTTGCTTAGCTTTTGGAAGGCATCTTTCGCTATCCCAAAATGCCTTTTCTTTTGCTTCTAACGAGATTCTCCTGTTTCTTAATACTTTGCTTAGCTTTTGGAAGGCATCTTTCGCTATCCCAATAGGCCTTTTCCTTTGTTTCTAATGAAATTCTCCTGTTTCTTAATACTTTGCTTAGCTTTTGGAAGGCATCTTTCGCTATCCCAATAGGCCTTTTCCTTTGTTTCTAATGAAATTCTCCTGTTTCTTAATACTTTGATTAGCTTTTGGAAGGCATCTTTCGCTATCCAAATGTGCTTTTTTTTGTTTCTAACGAAATTCTCCTGTTTCTTAATACTTTGCTTCCCTTTTAGAAGGCATCTTTCGCTATCCCAATGTGCCTTTTCCTTTGCTTCTAACGAAATTCTCCTGTTTCTTAATACTTTGCTTAACTTTTGGAAGGCAACTTTCGCTATCCCAATGCACCTTCGAATTTTGGTGTTGCGTTTTCCATTCTTTGTAAAAACACGTCCAAGATATTTAAATTATTGTGTCTCTATCGTCCTGTTAGCGGTATCTTTAGGAGGACAACTGAAAACCTGAATTTGAATCCATTCTTAAGCAGTGGCTGGGTCTTCAATTCCACTTTGTAAAAATATACTTGTTAAAATATGACTGGTGCACATGATTCAGAATTAATTTATAGATTTCAAAAGAAATCACCTGAAAAATCATTTATAAAAATTTTGATCTTATGCTGAAAATGAGATTTGAGAAACCATGGACACATCTAGCCTGAGATAGATAGATAGATAGATAGATAGATAGATAGATAGATAGATAGATAGATATGAATAGGCTCTGATAGATAGATAGATAGATAGATAGATAGATAGATAGATAGATAGATAGATAGATAGATAGATAGATAAACAGGCTCTGATAGATAGATAGATAGATAGATAGATAGATAGATAGATAGATAGATAGATGAACAGGCTCTGATAGATAGATAGATAGATAGATAGATAGATAGATAGATAGATAGATAGATAGATAGATAGATAGATGAACAGGCTCTGATAGATAGATAGATAGATAGATAGATAGATAGATAGATAGATAGATAGATAGATAGATGTGAATAGGCTCTAATAGAAAGAAAGAAAGAAAGAAAGAAAGAAAGAAAGAAAGAAAGAAAGAAAGAAAATGAAAAGACTGACGTTGAAAAAGAGATGGCGGGAAAGGTTCTAATTACAAACAACTTATGATCTTGTAATTAAAATATAGGTTGCGAAACAAAAACATTTTTTATTTTTAATTATTATATATCCATTCGCAATATTACATTGTGAACAATACAAGCAACTGTGAAATGTTATTTCTCGCCATTGTCCTCTGATCAAGATGACACTTGAACGAAAATGTTTTCTCATTTTTTTTTAAATCTATCTCATGCAAATGTATAGTTTTAGTTGTGTGCGCGTTTATATTTCCGAGCATGCGTAAAATAGTGTATTGCAAATAGGAACGTTTTTTTGTTCACAGCCAACCGTGAACAAAATATGCTAATTAACAAAAGAAACCAGGCGTTTATTCTCAATGTTCACATTTTATATGTGTGTTTTTCAGATGTGTGTTTTTCAGATTTATTTTCCATACTTTGTATTTGTCTGTTCGTCCGGATCTTTCTGTATATTCTAAAGCCTAAAAAGGTTCCAAAATAGAATGAACACTGTCGTCAGATCACTGGCAGCTAAAAATGGCGAAGTATTACTTAGTCGTTGACTGATTCGCTTTTTTGGGGGGCCAAGTTAGAGATAAGGCTGGTGATATTGCCTTCAGGAAAATTGCCGTCCATCACAATAGGGATGTCGTTGATGAAATAGGTAGGCGTTGAAGCCACTCCTCCTAAAAAGAGAAAGAAATGAATATAAATTTAAATAAAGATTATTTCTTTTTATCCTTTGAATTCATATTGTTTCAAATGTTTTCACACAAATATATATCGATTTATTCAGACTAGTATCTTCATTGGAAAAGACAGCTAAAATTCCTTAGACACATGAGGAAAGAAAGATTGGAAAACTTAACACTCACTAGAGAGATAGGGGAAGGCAGCGAGCGGAACGGGGGTGGGAGCCTTAACAAAGAGAAAAACTGCTAAAGGCCACAAAGCGTAGGAAGTTGTGGAGAGCCATGATCACCTGTGTCCTGAATGGCTACTGGTTTTGCCACTCCATTTCATCAGCTCTCCTTCGTTATCTTACATTACGATCTCAGTCATTCACAAATTATTAAGACTAATATCACCATCCTCTTTGCTGTTTTTATCACTACGTTTCAGCCGATACAGTTTTCGGTCTTTATTATCAGAAATTTTTAAATAAGTCATTATTCCACACTTTATTCAAAGGAGAAACGTTGAATGAATTTTTCAGATATAATGTCCAGATTTTTATTGTTTTAATTATTACGTTTCCACCAACGTTTTGGTCTGTTTTAAAGGCTGAGTTCAAATTTTATCACTATTGTAACAATTACTTAGATGAATTTCCATAGCTCATTGATCTAAAGTCGAAATGGTACGCTAAAAGCAATAAAGCTAAAGTAACGTGTAGGCCTCCGTCGGTCAGGGTTGTCAAGGGGTAGCATCTAAGTTGTCTGCTTGGCTGGAGCATCGACGTCTGTGACTATAGAGGCCGATGCGAGAATGACAATCTCTGTTGCAGAGATCACATGTATGTTCTGTTTCAGGTCTGTTGGAACTGCGTTCTACAGGCCCGCCTTTCCGTAGCGACTTGTGTCAGCTTCTCCTCCCCAGACTTGAGGTGTTTGGTCGGGGTTCTTCTCTATTCGGAATGTATGGCAGCCAGGCTTTCCCAGGACTCTTTGTTGATTCCCACAGCTTCCATGTTGCGTCTCACTACATGGCGGTACCGCAGCTGTGACCGCCTGGTGGGTCTCCTTCCAGCGGCCAGCTCTCAATACAAGTCTTGGTGATGCTGGCATGCGATGAACGTTACCCAACCAACAGATTCTGCGCTGTCTTTTGACCCATCCTGCTTTCATTCGACCCATCCTGCTTTCTTCTGACTTCTTGCTTTCTTTTGACACATCCTGCTTTCATTTGACTCATCCTGCTTTCTTTTGACCAATCCTGGTTTCTTTTGACCCATCCTGCTTTCATTTGGCCTATCTTGCTTTTATTTGACCCATCCTGCTATCTTTTAACCCATCCTGCTTTCTTTTGACTCATCCTGCTTTCTTTTAACCCATCCTGCTTTCATTTGACCCATCCTGCTTTCTTTTGACTAATCCTGCTTTCATTTGACCAATCCTGGTTTCTTTTGACCCATCCTGCTTTCTTTTGACCCATCCTGCTTTCATTTGGCCTATCTTGCTTTTATTTGACCCATCCTGCTATCTTTTGACCCATCCTGCTTTCTTTTGACTCATCCTGCTTTCATTTGACCCATCCTGCTTTCTTTTGACCCATCCTGCTTTCATTTGACCCATCCTGCTTTCTTTTGACCCATCCTGCTTTCTTTTGACTAATCCTGCTTTCTTTTGACATCCTGCTTTCTTTTGACCCATCTTGCTTTCATTTGACCCATCCTGCTTTCTTTTGACCCATCCTGCTTTCTTTTGACATCCTGCTTTCTTTTGACTCATCCTGCTTTCTTTTCACCCATCCTGCTTTCTTTTCACCCATCCTGCTTTCATTTGACCCATCCTGCTTTCTTTTGACCCATCCTGCTTTCATTTGACCCATCTTGCTTTCATTTGACCCATCCTGCTATCTTTTGACCCATCCTGCTTTCATTTGACCCATCCTGCTTCATTTTGGCTCACCCCGTATAACAAAATAAACAGTGAAATTCTTTAAAAAAAATGTGATTTACTTACTCAAACAGCCGTATTTAAAACTAGTTCTCGTTTCCAGTTCAACTTTTCGGGTGTTGTACATCGTCAGGAACTGATCACTGTCCAATCCCACTTGAGTTGCTAATTTCACGATTTCCCTGAAAGAAGAGTCAAAATTGTTCAATCCTGTTTCACAGCATTTTTCCACCACTTTACCTTAACAGATTCGACACAAAGTAATATTAAAATAGTCGCCCTCATGTGCACAACTTGACAAAGACGTTCCTGCTTAATGCAATCATTTTTGCTGTAACAGATTTTTTTCTTTAAAAAAAAAAACGATTTACAAATTTTTCTTTGACTTATGGAATGCCTTCTTTGCACTCTTGATCTTGTTACCACGACGATTCGGCCAATCCATTCTTCAGCCTTCTTCAGATGTATAACCCGTAAGAAAAAAGAAGAAAAATCTAATTTGCAAATATGTTTCCAATGTATTCAATAATTTTCTATCTATAAGGGTCGTTCTGGGTAAGACGATAAACTACATCCTCGTCCTGGGGATAAGACGATAAACTACGGAGCCACCTTTTAATTGCTGGTGTTCCCAGGTCCACCCTGACCCGGGATGGTAGCATCTGTTAGGGTCCCAGGCAAATAGTTAACTTTCAAACTGGGGTCAAAACACTATGAAAGTGTACAAATATTTTTTTAATACTAGAAATACTTTGTAAAAACAATTATTACCAGCAATACATTTTTGAAGAAAAAACATTACCAGAAATAGTTTTTTGAACAAGAAATATTACCAAAAATACATTTTTGAAAAAAAAAATATTACCTTAGTAAAAATTTTGTCGACATTAAATAACCCATTGGAGTTGATACGCCATGAAACAAACCAAATCTACAAGGATTGATCAATAAGTTATTAGCCGAATTTTTATTTGAAATTTCTATTTATTTTGTTACCTATTTTTTATTTTGTTTCTATTTATTTTTGATTTGGTATTGTCGCACTTTAGTTTTCATTTCTTTTTATTATTTCAATATGCTTTTAACTCGAAAAATATGCAATTCTTCTACGATAAGTTTCAGTAAAGTTGCCAGCGCAATTCTTAAAATTTAACTAAATAACCAAACATCAGAATTCATTTTTTTCCTTGATCAGGCCGAGAACTTTTTAGCATCCCCTCCTAAAGGAGCATCTCCTAGAACGGATAGGGTATAGAGCTGATCTAAAATGATCGGCTCCCTGTACCGCTCCTGACTCCTCCTGCTATTCTCTATCTTTATAAGAGCGAGACCAGGCCCAAAATGGGGGTACTGTTACCATATTTGGGAAGGACCTCAGTCTTGATAGAGTTCAAAAGCGTCTCCGAGTCCTTGTTGGAAAAGAATTATTTTCCTCTCTCTCTCTCTCTCTCTCTCTCTCTCTCTCTCTCAGGCAAGATATGGCAAGTCTCTCACTGCTCTATCGCAACTACAATGGAAAGTGCACGGACGAACTACATTCCTTGGTTCCACCAGGCAGGGTTAGGGTTACGCCATGCCACTTACATAACAGCAACCTCCCACCCCATTCTCTCCGTATTCCATCAACGAGAAGTTTCACTCGAACAGCTTCTTCCCGCGAACTACTACCCTGTGAAACAAACTCCCAAGAGCGTGTTTCCCAGATCACTACAATCTTAACCTGTTCAAGTCTAGAGTCAACCATTATCTTCCCCTCCTATCCAATATAAACTAACCCTTATCGTAACCTTCCAACTCATGTGGTCCCCGGTCTTTGTACAGGGTGAACCTTACTGTAAAATAAATCTGTTAAAAGCACTGAAAAAAGTAATTGGTAGACAGAGTTCAAATATCGGCTGACGTAGTTTACGCTCTGACCTTGGCATGGGTTCAAAGAAAGTAGGTTAGCCTTGTTTCTGGTATACAGACAGTATATAGTCTGTCGCGTGTAACAGGGAGAGAATATGGGTCCCTAGGAATATCATGGAAGATCAATGTATCGAAACACAAAGACCTAAGACAATTTGAATTCTGAATACTTACGAAAGCACTTTTTCTCCTGTACTATTCATTGTATTAGACATAGAAAATTTGTCCATGTTTTCATATACTGCCGATATCCAGTGATACGTTAGGCTTGAGTTGAGACAATGGATTGCATGGGCCGCCTGAAAAAATAAATAAGAAATAAATGAACAAATTTGATATTAATAGAACACGATTGAAGGAGGTCAAAAATTCATTCATTTTTCTTCTTATGAAAATGGTTCGGGATTCATACAGATTTGGAAAGCACTGAGAGAAGTTAATTGCTAAAGTTTGCTAAGAGAGCCGAGAAGAGACGGTTGGCGATAAAAAGAAATTTAAGGAGGGAGTCTTAATATTTACATAGACGAAACTTAAAGAATATTTGTTGAAAATAGCTTACAGGTTATGAAACTCAGTTAAAATCGAATCGGTGGAGTTATGGCTAGCGGCTCGGATTGAGGAATCGGAGAGCTGAGTTCGAATTCCTTTTGAATCCATTACATTCACTTACGTGCTAATACTCTTGGGAAAGGTATGAATCCTCTTCTTCTCCCCCAGCTATGGGTAAATAGCAGGACAGATCGGGTTCTATACCGCACAAAGAAATGGCAACCTACTGCAGGAAAAAAAATCTACCTCATCAGTCATGTATCGAAAGTTACATGATCGCCTTGGATGGCAACTGGTCAACCACAGAAAGAAATGGCAACCTACTGCGAGAAAAAAAAATCTGCCTCGTCAGTCATGTATCATGCATCAAATATAGTCAGTACCACAAGGCATTTTTTCCCGCAGTAGGTTGCCATTTCTGCGGTAGACCAGTTGCCATCCAAAGTTAAAGAACCTTTACCCATAGCTGGTGGGGAGAGGATTCATACTAAGGCTATTAGCATGTAAGTGAATTTCAGTTTTGATACACGCATGGCATATAAATGATGCATGATATATGACTGACGAGGCAGACTTTTTCCCTCTGTAGGTTGCCATTTTTTTCTTCATGAACCGGTTGCTATCCAATGCTATAGAACTCGGTCTGTCCTACTATTTACCCATACGTGGGGGGGGAGAAGAAGAGGATTCATACCTTTCCCAAGGGTATTAGTACGTCAGTGAATTTCAGTTTTGATGCATGCATAGCACATAAATGATGCATGAACCATGACTGACGAGGCAGATTTTTTACCGTAGTGGGTTGCCATTTCTTTCTATAGTAGACCAGTTGCCATCCATGGATATATATATATATATATATATATATATATATATATATGATTGTGAATTAATCGGTCGTGAATATTCCAATACAGGTATAAAAAATGAATGCCAAGATTTTAAATGCAGACATTTTCCACTTGTATAAATGATAATTTACGTAAAATTTTCGATTCTAAAATTATCTTCTTGTCTTTGACTAACATGACTATACGACCAGTTCACTCTCTGGCCTTCCTCGTACTGACCGTATGGAAATAGAGGCTCTTTTCTTCTACCAGATAAAGACACTTATCCTACTCACATTTGCTTTTCTATAATTTTCTAAACCGAGTAAATCTCGATCATTTTATCATTGTACCTGTTAACAAACATAAACTTGCTTTAAAGTTATTTTTTATCAAGGTAAACCTCTGTGACGTTCAGGTCATTGCTCTTCCACTAAATCTCACCTACAACTCAGTTCTTCACGTTAAAACAATTACGTAGTTCAGAATGCATCTTCATCAGTAGCAGTTCCTTTTGGCACTTTGTCATTTTACATTCTTGTTTATATATTTCCTCTAATTCTTGCTTCTCTGCCCAAATTGTTTTCGTTATGCAACTCAGTGACTAGATCCAAGGACTACAAAAACTCAGCACTGACCCAGACATTCGCTTTACGGAAATGTCCGAACATTTCCGATCATCGACGGAAAAAAATCGATTAGAATAGTGTCTGTTTTGTATATTTCATATCTATAAGTGAAAAATAACTGAACTAGTCGATTATCTAACTTGAATAACTGGGTCAAGTATTTTGAAAAATTGCTTTTGTCACGAGCCACGCCACTGAGTAACATCACTGGCAGCATTTTCTAGATAATGTAGGAATACTGTGAAAAACTGTAACTGAGATATCCAGAAAAGGCATGGCCCGTGGAACTAGAACAATCTACCCCAGTGGACCAAATAAAGGGTTCGGTTCGAAATTCCAGTCTGAAGAAGATCGGGGCGTACAACGGCCGGAACGTTGGGAATATATGGACAACAGTACGAACAATGTCAATAATTACAATACCTCGTCTCAGAAATATAGACAGATATTATTATTGTTATTATTTTATTTACTCTGATTTCCGGTGCATATTCGTTTCTTTCCGGGTCCCGACCAGAGACCTAAGGTTAGAAATAGCATCATGATATTTTCCACTAAGCAATTTTGAAAAATAAATCACATATATTTTACATAGATAAAGCCCTTCGTAAGGTGTGAGCTGTACTTGTGAGAACATTTTTTTTTTATTTCTTTAAGGCATTGGCTACCTGGAATCCCTTTACTGAGTCTATTGGAAACTTTTCGAATCACTGCGAGGGCTTCAACTACAACCGGAATTGTTGATGTCCTCATGTACCACATTTTTGAGATTTCGATTTCAAGGTGGTTGTATTTTGATAGATGTTTGAAGAGCTTCAAAGATACATTGTACTCTTCAAGGAACTGTCAAGTAAGAAACGGTCTCTAATCATTATTATTATTATTATTTCAAAAGATAATAAATACAGGCGAGATTTGAAAACATACAAGATTTGATTGTGGAAGCATTTCCATTCTTCATTTACCGGTTATTCTTTTCTTTGTGTTGTTATGCGATAGAGGTTAAGATTCTACAATCCATTGACAGTAATCGGACGTTTAGATTAGTTTTTAAAAATTAACATACATTAGAAAAAAAAACATAATCTCAGTTGTCCCAGTTCTACTTACTTCGTCCACATGATGGCAAAAGATAAATAACCTATCAGGAAACAGTTTTTGTCCCTAACAGCATTGGACATTATCATTTAAACGAGAGATTTTTAAATACATGTAAAGGTCGCTGGCATTTCGAGAAGCTGACTACAGTGTAACCCGGATATAAGAGAGTTGTCGGGACCGGAGAAGAAGTCTCTTATATTCGGGTTTCTCTTATATCCGGGTTTGGTCTATTTTGTTTAGGTAAGTATGGGTTCTAATTTGGGACCAGAGAAAATCTCTCTTATATCCGGGTTTCTCTTATATCCGGGTCTCTTATTTCCGGGTTACACTGTATATGGAAATGCAGAAAGTGTAACTCGACGTTCCAAGGACAATTCTTGCTCGATTCTGTCTTGTTCACTTCGCGTTAATGATCTTGGAATCCACTTTCCCCCACTTATGGGTTAAATAACAGGACAAATACATTAAGCAAGAAATATGGATTAAAAACTAGAAATTGTCTTCCTAAAAAAAACAGATTTAAACTTGCATCCTTTTGAACCTGTTGAACATGGACGATATCTTGCAGAGACCAACTAGCATGCGAAGTTAAATCTAGTCATATTATTTACTCCGGTCTCCCCACTGAGGCGAGATATGGCACAAGGCTTAGTTTAACGAGCGCGTACACTCAGGCAGGGTACAACAATTGCCCAGCCCCTGCAACCGTCGGTTGCACTGGCATCAGAATGACTACTATCCCCCTTCTCTAGTGCAATGGAGGATGCGGCCTCGGGCAGCTGTTCCCCGAGATCAGGCACCTCATAGCATTTTTCTCAGCTGCGTCCGCGAACAAAGCCACAACTAGTCACACTCTACCAGAAGACAGAGACGCAAGAGACGATACCCCCCCCACGCCGTCTACGGAGTTAAATCTCGTCTTACAGTGACACCCTCTCTCCTGAGATTTCTTTAGACTATATTGTTTGCTTACTGTATTGTAGTAGTAGATATAATAGTTTTTAAATTGTCCGAATGGAGTATTTACAATGGCCTAAGAAAAGTTTTTTTTAGTCAGGAGAAATAAACTACATCCAATTTCAAAATTTAATTACGTAATCCCTATTCAACATAGATAAACAGTATTTGGAACTAGTATAGATTAGGTCCTCCATTTGCTAGTTTCCGTGCTTGTATTTGATTTTTCATGGATTTGATCAACTTATCAACAATCGTCTGATCCATATTTTGCCACTCCTTTAGTAATGTTTCTTTAAGGGTTGCCACTGATGTGATTTTGGTTGCATGCTCTCGAAGTTTTCGGTGAAGGTGCTCCCAAACGTGCTCTATTGGATAGATGTCAGGATTTTGGGCTACCCATGGCAGTGACTTGGTTCCTTTCCATTCTTTTCAAGACCTTTGCTACTTTGCTCTTATGACATGGCGCTCCATCTTCTTAAAAATGGTAGACATTCTTGTCAATCTGGTTGGTTTCAAATAGTGGTAGTCCTTTCTCTAATATTTGACAGTATTTTGAACCATTCAACCGCTCGTCAACAAGAATTAGCTCAGATTTCCCTCCAAACCAGACAGCGCCTCACACCATTACTCCAATCCCTCCATGTTTCACGGCCGCCTGCAGATATTCAGCGTTCCAAGTCTCATTCTGATTTCTTCAAACCTGTCTCGAATCCGAACATTAACATAATTTACTTTCATCTGACCAAATTACAGACAGCCAAAATTCATAATCTTTGTTTACAAATTCTCTCACCCAGTCCATAACCTAACAATGTTAACCTCTGAAATCAAGGGCTTCTTTCTTGTAACTCTTCTTTGATATCCTACTCTTTCAGAGTCTTTCTCACTGCATATGACGACATCTCCATGCTGTTGGCAACATCTTTGACGCTCTGATGACGGTGATGACTTCCCTATTCAGCGCCCTTTTCGTTCGCTCATCCACGATGCTTGGTCTTTCTGAACATTGTCCCCCAAGACAATTGCCTTTTTCATTAAATTTCTTGACAATATTATTAACCGTTTGTTGATTAACCAGGAAAAACCTAACAATTTCTATATTTGACTTGCCACACTGATGCCATCCTTTTATTTGCCCTTGTTGAAATTCACTAATTTCCTTACTTCTACCAACTTTCATCGCGATTTCAAATTCGGAGTTTTATTTCTATCAAACTAATTGCCACACAA